TTAATTTAAGCTATAAGAACAGTTAGCAAGAAGCCTGCCACGGCCATACAGTTTGTAAGCAATATAAGTCTCTGTGTTTACTTGGTTGGGTCTGAGCGACTGTGGGACTGGCGGGTGACAGAGATTTGTCCTAACTATGGGCAAGGCAGGAAAACTCTAGCTACACATGTGGCTTTTTTTTTTCCAGTTTGTTTTTATGATGGATTACATTGACAGATTTTCCTTTTTTGAACCACCCCTTCATTTCTGGGGTGAAGTCTACTTGAACATGGTAGATGATCTTTTTGATGGGTTCTTGGATTTAGTTTGCCAGTATTTTATTGAATATTTTTGCACCAATGTTCATGAGGGAAATTGGTTTGTAATTCTCTTTCTTATTTGAGTCGTTGTATAGCTTGGGTATCAGAGTGACTTGGAACTCATAAAGAGAATTTGGCAATGTCTCTTCTGTTTCTATTTTGTGATATATCTTGGGGAGTATTGGCATTAGCTCTTCTGTGGAAGTATGGTAGAATTCTGTACTAAAACTGCCTGACCCTGGGATTTTTTTGGTTGGGTGATTTTAATAACTGCTTCTATTTCCTTAGGGATTACAAGTCTATTTAAATGGATTATCTGACCCTGATTTAATTTTGGTAAGTGATATCTATCAAGAAATATGTCCATTTATTTTAGCTTTTTCAGTTTTGTGTAGCTCAGGTTTTTTTTTCAGTATGACCTAATAATCCCCCCAATTTCCTCACTGTGTATTACTATGTCCCCTTTTCCTTTCTGCATTTGTTAATTTGCATATTCTTTCTATGTCCTTTTTGTTCGTTTGGATAAGGATTTGTCTATCTTGTTGCTTTTTTCAAAGAATCATCTATTTCATTGATTCTTTGTACTGTTTTCTTTGTTTCTATTTTGTTATTTACAACCCTAATTTGATTATTTCCTGTTGTCTGCTCCTCTTGGATGTGTTTTTTTTTCTTGTTCTTGAGCTTTCAGATGTTCTGTTAAGTCACTATTTTGATTTTTCTCCAAATTCTTTATGAAGGCACTTAGTGCTATGAAATTTCCTCTTAGCACCATTTTCATAGTGTCCAATAAGTTTGGGTATGCTGCTCTTTCATTTTCATTGAATTCTAGGAGATCTTTACTTCTTTCTTTTCATCTTCCTTGAACCAGTGGTAATTAAATTGAGAGTTGTTCAATTTCTATGAGGTTGTAGGCTTTCTGTAGTTTGGGTTGTTGAATTCCAACTTTATCTCATGGTGATCTGGATAAGATACAGACAGTTATTCCATTTTTTTTTTGTATCTGTTGAGATTTACTTTGTGACCAAATATGTGGTGAATTTTGGAGAATGTTCCATGGGGTGCTGGGAAGGTATATCCTTTTGTGGAATCTACTACATAAACAAACTGAAAGAAAAAAAAACCAATTGTCATCTTATCAGATGCTGAAAAAGCCTCTGACAAAATCTAACACCCTTTCATGATAAAGGTCTTGGAGAGATTGTGGATAAGGGGAACATACCAAAACATAATAAAAGCAATATACAGCAAGTCAACAGCCAGCATCAAAGTAAATGGAGAGAAACTAAAAGTGATTCCACTAAAATTAGGAATAAGATAAGGCTGTCTACTCTCTATATATCTATTCAATATAGTACTAGAAGTTCTAGCTAGAGCAATGAGACAACAAAAGGAGATCAAGAGGATACAAATTATAGTGCGAATTCTAATTGGTCATAATAATAAAAAACTAGTGTAAGATATTGTGGTAAATGCTGAAATATCAGAGAAGTAAAGGAGCCAGCCACTAAAGAGACTTCTTACCTCTACTGAATCCTGTAGTTGGGGATTTCTCCTGTCCTGCTGGGGCCCACAGCCCCTCAGATCCAAGTAAATACACAGATGCTTATATTATTTAAACTGTTTGGCCTAATAGCTCAGGCTTCTTGCTATCTAGATCTTACACTTAAATTAACCCATAATTCTTATTTATGTTTAGCCACGTGGCTTGGTACCTTTTCCTAGTTCTGCCTTCACATCTTGCTTCTCATGGTGGTGGCAGCTGGCAGCGTCTCCTGACTCAGCCTTCCTCCTCTCAGAATTCTCTTCTCTGCTTGTCTTACCTATACTTCCTGCCTGGCTACTGGCCAATCAGCATTTTATTTATCAACAATCAGAGCAACACATTCACAGCATACAAAACATATCCATAGCAAAATCCTCATACTGAAAGGACCTGAGCTCCTTTTCCTCCAGCCTTATTACTGTCTCCACTTCCCTAGAGCTAGGATTAAAAGTATGAGCTTCCCATGTGCTGGAATCAAAGCACATCCTCCTTAGTGCTGGAATTAAAGGCATGAGCCTCCACTACCTGGTTCTGTTTCTCTCTTAGACTGGATCAATCTTGTATAGCCCAGAGTGGCCTTGAACTGATCTTTATGCTTCCTCCTGCCAACTGCTGGGATTAAAAGTGTGTGCCACCACTACCTGGCCTCTCGTTAACTAG